AGTTTCTGGATTTCTCCCTCTAGGCGGTGGATAGTTTATAGAATTTCGGCCATATTCGGCTAGGGATCACTAGGGAGAGTTAAGCGATCAGAGGTTGGTTCGGTAGGAGGTTGGGCTTCTTCTTCTATGGCCGGAAGTCCTCTTTTAGGAGTAGAGTCCTGAGTAGCTCCTCGTTGCCTTATGGTAGGAGCCATCTTAAGGGTCTTCAGTTACTTAAGAGAGAAGAGTTATAATTATAAGGGTTTAAGTCTAATACAATTAGGCTACCATAAATAAGAGAAGAACTAATATAAGAAGGCTACTAGAGGACGGAGGTATAGGTATGGTATCCTATAGGGCTCGATTCTACTAGGGTAAATTAGGGATAAGAACAACTCTTGAACTCCTTTAAGAGTCTAAAGACCTTAGAGAGTTAAATACATCAGGAAGTAGCAAATCTCTAACTAGCTTATCCAGGGAACCCCTGCTTCCCTAGCAGCTAGTTTAGCCAGCTTATATAGAGAGTCCATTACCTCTCTCAGCCTTCTTGCAACCCACGCTATTACACTAGGGCCTTAGGCGGGAGTCAGGGTCCTAGGTAGTATATTCGTTATCGCGGCGGCTACATATAAGGTCCTTACGATTTTCTCCTAGGGTGTACTACCTAAGGGCGTGGGTTAGCGGGCATAGTATATCTATTACTAGTGTTAGCGGAAGCGGTTATCGAGCGACTAAAGATAGGCTATATAACTATGAAACTAGCGGGACGGAGCTAGGTTATATAAGAGCATATCCTAGAGCTCGTTCGAGATAGCTTATATCAGGAGGGGAGTTAGAGCTTCTTTATATAGTTCGCCCTCTAGGGCTAAACGCTAGAATTCGGATAGGAAGGTATTAAAGTCGTTATTCTTCTAGCGGAGCTAGTATAAGTGGTTCTAGGCATTCTAGACTCTATCAGGGTCGCCGAAGGCCTTCTCGAGATATTCAAGCATTTATAGGTAGTCTATAAACTAGGGAACTCCGTACAAGATCTTTAGCAGTACTAGTTCGTACGCTTTACTAGTAAGTCTCCCCGCGACATAAGTAAGTCTAATAGTAGCTATCGGGAAACGGTCCTGGTTCGCGTTCATCTTACTATAGATCTACTACATAAAGCGGCGGAGGTCGCTGCGAGTTCTATTAAACTCTTTCGGGTCAGGGATTCTTTCACTAAGGGAGGTAGACCAGGGACCCAGGATAGGAGTCGGTACAAGTTCTCGCGTAGGGATATCTACTAGGTTCTTAATACCTTAGGCAGGAGTGTTTTTGGTTAGGGGGGTTCATATAGCAGGCAGGGCGGAGTTCAGGATCTGATTTTTTTTGACTTCGAGCCTAATAATCTTATTATATAAGCTATTGATGCGCTCTTCCTAATATCTAATAACGCCCTCCCTATAGTGCCGAGTCTCCTCGCTTTTAGTCGCGGCTTAGCGGAGGGTTTGGTTATCTTTCTCAATTTCTTAAGAGTAGCCCTCCATAATCCGGAGGTACAGCACCTAGATATTAGGGTGTTCTTAGACATAAGCCAGGAATTCTTTAATAGAATCGGCGTTTAAAGGTGGTTTAGGACAGGGCATGCTAGCGGGTAGCAGCTCTAGTATAGGATAGAAGCTACATAGTATCATAGGGCGGGCAGGTGAATAGAATTATACTAGAACTAGACAGATAGTATTATATTAACTAATAGGCTAAGACGAAGACATAGCTTAAAGAGCTATATTTAGATAAGGTTCTAAGTTTATATAAGGTTGCGGGTCACATAGCCCGCACTATCTAATCAATCAGTAGTCGTCTAAGCTAGCACCGTGACAGCTCGAATAGGTAAATTCCACCAGTTTTTCAGGAGTTCAATAAAGTGTCGAATCGCATCATTTATCTGGTTCTTTATATAATAGGTAAAGACCTAATAGAAGTAGATTCCGTCAATATAAAAATAGCAAATCTAACGCTCTTCATTATACACGATTAACATTTAGATCAGGTCTAGAGAGATCTATCCGAATCGACCATACCTATATCCTAGATAACATCTAGATATCTATCTAGGAGCTCTAGTAAGACTATAAACAAAGCATAGGCTCTATATTTAGCCATTTATATAGTCAGTGACTGGTTCAGTTAAGTCTAGTTGATCGCTTAAAACGACTCTATCAACGAGCTTAGGAAGCTGCTATATAGCATTATGGTGTAAATGACCTAGACGATGATGCTAGAGCTCTATCGATGCCTTAGATTCTAGTGGTTTTCTGGAATCCTTGCCCATATATGCATACTTTTCCGCCGAAAAGATCTCGTCGGGTGTCTCTTTATCTAAATCTTGTTTAGCTAATAATGGCTCCACGATTAATAAATTTAGGTTATAAATCCTTTAAATAGCTAGGATAGGTATCCCGTCCCTATCAATAAGATAGTCTTTCGAAGGCACCTAATCGCCTCCTTTATCGTTCAGGGCGTAGTAAGAGAGTAGATTCAATCTAAACTCAGGGCTATAGAGGACATTTAACAGGATGATTGATGTCGATTCCTTGGTTACTAGATGGATCCCTTTAACTTCGTATTATCCTTTACTAAGGGTTTCAACCTCTCCTAATCCTAGTTAAAGGGTGTCTCTTCCATGCTCGAAATTAACAAATACACCTAAGTTATTATAGACATACACACTAGCGCCTATGTCTAGCACCTAGCTATCTTTCTAGAGCTCCTGACCAGACTAGGTCAGGAAAGCTGATTTCTATAGAAATATAGAGTCTATAAATATACTAGAGAGGTCTGGAATGGTGTCCAGAGTATCTAAAACTATATCCAGAATAGTATTCAGAGTATCTAAAGCTATATCTAGAGTATCTAAGATTATAGTATTTCGGCCGAGAAACTAGTCTTCGGCAGTGCCTGCGAGCTATATACTATCGCTTAAATCGGCAGCATAGGTAGTTTAAGTCGCGAAAAACACTAGTTTTATAGTATAGTTGGTGGTATGGTTTACAGCTATAGATTACCTAGCTGGCTCGGCTAGGGTATTGCTGGTGTTAGTAGATTCTTTTAGTTTAGTATCGATCCACTATTTCTAGCCTAAATCCCCGTCTAGGGCCTATTTTATCTTCTGTTTCATGCCAGCATTTAGCTTTCTACTACCTTTACCATTTAAGTTAAAGTACTTATCGATAGGGTAGCTATAACCATATAGGCATGCCCTATCTTTAAATGGTTTTGCTTTCTGCTCCTATAGGAATTGAGCTCTAGCCAGAGCTTTCTTCCCTTGACCAGGGGCACTAGGTTAGCCAGGAGCATAAGGGGCAGGAGCACTGGCTTAGCCAGCTGTTTCCTGGTATCCTTAGAACATCGTGAACGCTCCCTTTAAGATAGCTGGCTGCTTTAGTCTTTGATTCTGGTAGGTGGTTTTGAAATGATCTAGAAGGCGACGCATAGAGATCTGCTCGCGATCAACTATAATCTTTCCATGCCAGGACTACCACTAGTTTAGTAGTATATCCTTTACCAGCTCTAAAAAGAGCTATATAGCATCATCATTCTTAGCAGCTAAGACACCCTCAACCTCTATTTTAAGGCGCGAATACTCCTATTCTTTAAGCTAGGCGCCAATATCGGCGCCAGCTATAGGTAGAGTAACCATAAAGTTGTGCTAATAATAGAATACCCTAGCTCTATTTATTAACAAGATTCTATAGCGGTCATATAAGAATTTAAGTCGCATAAATGGTTCGTTATATTATAAAACAAGACTCTGAACATATATATCTAAGTGCTTTAGGATATATTCATTCACAGATTTAATTACTCGCTTCTTAGTTTAGTAGAATAAAAGACGGAACTTATAATCCTCTACATCGTCCTTCTAGTCCTGTCGTAACCGATCATACTCTTTATAATCTATATCGAGTTCAAGCATTAGTTTGATCGGGTAGTCGCATAGTTCTGATCCTAGGACTGGTCGTTTAGTCCTAAGCTCTAGATCGTAGTATTCCTATATATCTCCGCTAGTGGCTACGGCTTTAACTCGCCTATACCACTGCTGCCATTAAGAGGCATCTTTTAGTCTTATATCGCCGGACATCGCGGACATAGTCTTCAGTCTCGTTTACCCTTAAAATATGCTTTTTAAGGTAAATTATCGGCGAACCGGGCTCATAACTATCAAATAGAGGTCGACTACCAAGGAATAGTGGATTCTAGTAGGTAAATAAGAACGCAGTATACATACTAAAGAGTATATATATATCTATTATAGAATAGAGGAATCCTATTATAGGATTCTAATACTAACTAAAATAGACTAACTATAAATAGAATTGGGCCTTTAATAAGACTTTTATTTCACGTGATATTTATCACCTAGTTAGTACTAGATTAAGGCAAAAATTAGGCACTAAGACACTAATTACCCTAATTTAGTTTAGGTTAAGGCGAAAATCAGGCATTAAGGCATCAAAAATACCTATATAGGACCTATACCTAACCTATACCCACGTAGGTTAGGTTAGGTATAGGTATAGGTTTACCTTACCCCTAATAGGTTAGGTATAGGTATGAATTTTGACCTATACCCAACCCATATATATATCTAGATCAGATACTTTCTAAGAGCGCTTTTCTTATCGTCGGTCGTGAGTTTTACTCTCGTTAGAGGAAGGATTTTATATATAAAGGGCTAAAGCTAATCTTGAATTCAGAACTAGCTAGGCATATACTATTTATAAAATCCTTAAAGAACATAAATAATTCGGGGTGGAATCGTGAGGTATATAATTAGTAGGTCATATAGTATAACCATATAATAGTTCACCAGGATTCAACCTATTACATCTTTCGAAGTTTCGCTATTTCTTTATTAGCATTTTTATACCTTTAATAGAGGTGTAGAAAGGCAACTCGAGCTTTTTTGATTAAGCTAGCTAGAGATCGCATTTCCGCCCTAAGCTCTCTCTTCTCTCGTCTTAACTATAGAAGATCCGGATTTTGGCAAATTATATACTTATACATATCCGAAAGCTTATATAGAGCGTGAACATCCCTTTTCCTAAGCATACTTCCGGTAAAACATATAAGGCCCTCCTAAGATGGTCGAAGAAGAACGACATACTAGAGATCGCGTCTAATAAATTATGATTAATAATATTTTTTAAAGACGGCGTCGCTAGATTAACTAAGCACCCTTTACCACTCCTAGCTCGTAAAATTCCCTAGAAGCTACTTGTTAATATCGATCGGTAACATAAAGTTTTCTTAGCCTTTATGATGATAGCATATTCATTTTAGCGTAATAATAACTTATAATTTACTTCATTTACCGTCCAACGGCGAAAGTTATAATACCTAATATCGTCTTTAAATTTAGCGTCTCGGCCCAACTCTTTAAGGGCTTGCCGACTTAATTCATAAGTCATCGATAAAGACTTATAGAGTTCGTAGCTATAGGGAGTACACTTAAAACATCGAAGAATAGGAGTGTTCAGGACTTCTGCTTTCCACCAAAGAGGAAGGGACGGAGTATGCTTAGGAACTCGCAGCCTCTAAATTAGCTCTAGTGTGAGTTCCGTATTAATAAAAGCCCTATCATAGAAAGCGAAGGAGACTATCTAAGCGATCGGGTAATATACTAATTAGTAGTCACCATACATAAAAAACTTAGTCCTAAAAAGGAAAATAGGTGTCAGATCAATTAAATATGAATTTAAGGTATAGTAGCACCCTTACCTATCGGCGCCTTCTAGCCGACCTTTAAGATTACGAAACTCTATAATAGCATAGAGAACATCACGTTTACTTTAAGGATCTTGTCGGAACATGGATATTATAATCATATAATACCATAAAAACCTAGAACAGAATAAACAGACCCCCAAGTTATAGGGGAACAACTATATTAGGAACTCAAGTAGCTATATAAATTAAACACATTTCATACTACTTTATATAATATATATACTAAGAATCTAGGACAAACTATACCCTTTTCCAATATATATAGTGTAATATATAAACCCTATCCTTTTAACATAGTTAATCGATACTAATTAGTTAATAAGCTGAATCAGACTTAGAGGTTATATTACTAAGTTATTATAAAAAATCCTTAAAACCACGAAAACTTGTTACAATAATAAGCTAAATTCGATCGAAGAAAATATAATAAAACACTATTAAGAGCACGAATTAGCACTAGTAAGCCTATTCACTCTTCTAAAAACATAATTTTTAAGTTTGATTTAGAAAACTACACCCTAGTTTCTACCTTTCAACACCTCCTTTATAACTATTTTTCGAAGGATATTCGACTAAAATTTTTCCTTTTTATATTAGAAAAACTAGGGATACTTAAAAACCCCTAAAAATCTTCCCCTCTTTAAATTATAGGATACTAGAACCCACTAGTGACTTGTTCAACTTCTCTACTTATGACTTATCCAACTCCTCCATAGATCCACGCTAGAATATAGCTAATCTCCCCCTAATATCACCTATAGGAGCTATATAGCACCACTAGTATACTAGACACCATAGTCAATCAAATCTATACACTATAAACAAAAGCGTAATAACCAAGGACAATTCGCACACCATTCCCTAATCATAGAAGAAGACCTAACCCCATAAGACGACGACGAAAGTTTAGATCCACTCACCATTATTATAGACAGAACACTATTATATAGACCACGCACTTAGGGTAGCTATACATAAGCAAATATACCCGGATTATATATAGAACATACTAGCCCTATACCCGCTTTTAACCAGAGCAGAGGCTAAGGGTACCCCGATGAACATATAGATAGGGACTAGACCTACTAAGAGGCGAACGAATCATAGGGCAATATAACATAAGAGGAGAAAATCAGATTCTACCACAGAAATGGTTTTAACCCATAGGAATATAACTAGGATCAGCGTGAGGAATATATAACCACACGATTTACCTACTATATAACCACGGGAGTTATAGACCGCGGACTCTAGGCCAACTTCTAAGCAGACTTTAAGAACTAGACTAAGGAGGACTTTACGAAACTCGAACAAAACACCCTCCAATTAGTATACCATATACTCATCTAGCGCGGAGTTTATATGAGATAGACACCAAAACTGGCCGACTCCCTAACGGAATGCCTTATAAGGGAAGAAGAACATAAATAGATAGATATAGAAATCAAAAATACCTTTAAAGATATTAATAGCGCTATAAGAACTCTAGCACTCTAGGATAAATTAAATAACATACTAGATGGTCTAAAAGGAACAACCGCCACCCAACACCTACAAGATCCGGTCAATCCAGCCAGCTAGCTAAGCCAAATACTAAAGGAAATACCCCCCACCTAGCGCAAGACCCAGAACTAGACCTCGCATATTTTCTTATCACCTCGGCCGGAACCATATATATATATAAATATCCTAAATAACCAAGAGTATATACATAAAAGCTAAATTAGAGGCGTACCACCTACAACCTACACCGGAAACTCAGGAGACAATCTAGGTAACAATAACGATGATGATAATAAGAGTGATTATACTCTAAGAGGAAACAACGACCTAGATAATAGTCGTTATTCCTAGACACCTCGATCTACTCCCGACCTTACCTTAGATAACTACGTAAGGCAAACAACAACAGTTATGAAGTCGATATCCGAGAGCCAAAAATATAATAGAAGCACTAGTCTCGACTTCAAGATTAAGATCTTCACCAACATCTGCTAACATATAAGACTCCTAGAACAATTGTATATAGACATATTTAGCAGTTTCCTTAAAAGACCGGTATTAGAGTTTTACTTCACGAACTCCCTATAGGAGAGAACCTTCGCGGAATCGTGCGAGAAACTTAGGGAATTCTTCGAAGGACCAGAGTTCTATAGAAAGCAGAAATAACTATAGGACAGCTAAAACCTTAGAACAACCATCTAAAAGAACCCTAACAAGAGCCTCCACCAATACTTTAAGATACTACTTAATAAGCTCTATAAGCTCCGATATATAATTAATCCCTTATAGCGAACGGATGAATACTTATACAAAAAATTGATTTCAGTATATAAAGGAGTTAAAGTATGCCGAATAACCCTAGCACACCTACCACCGAACCTCCCGGGACTTATCAACAGAATACAGACGTCGATAACCACCTAGGAAAACAAGAGAAAATATAAGGAGCCTGCCACCAACAACCTATCTATATTCTAGGCGGAGGAACTCCCTACAACAAACTTTATAGAAAGGAAGTTTATGCGTATAAACCCTATAAAATAACCGCCTAGATAATCAACGAACCCTCCCTAAATAAAATATAGACTAGGAACCAGCAAGAAATATGGTGTTTACTATAAACCAGACTATATCTTATATAACCACACCAAGGAAGAAAGAGACGCGGCCCGAGAACGATTCTAAAGCAAATTTTAAAGAAATCAACAAGGAAGCTATAAACCCATATACCAGCAATTCATCACCGATATAGAAGGACTACTAAACCAGGAGCCGACACCCGATGATAAGAGCGATAAGGAAATAGACATATTCCTAAATAACTACCCAACCATAAAAAGCATAGGACCCGAAGACGACTCGGACTCAGAAAATGAAATCCTCTTCACGACTGGTTACAGAGCCTTAACGCCAGGATTTGCGGAACAACTTATAACAGAGCTCTCTAATAACATTATATTAGAAACCCTCGCAAAAACTCCCTATACACAATAGGAGAACTCCATAGCCCAAGGACTAAACACACCCCGGACAGGAACCAAGGAGGAATCGCTATTTAGTTATAACATAACCGCAACAGCAAAAACCAGGTATACAACAACGACTTTCATAGGAATAATCATTAATACAGGAGCAGCCTATATATCAACCGCTAGGCACAACCAATTCTTGGCCCTATAAAATTCGGACCCCTCAGCGACTCTAGACACTTCCATAGCTAACCAGATCAAGGTTCGCTTCGGAATCAGAGAAGCATCGTCGGCTGGTTCAGTCATATTAGAGACCCCGATTAGTACACTCATCTTCCACATTTTCCACTCGGATATACTATTCCTCCTATCCCTTATAGACATAGATAGACTAGGCATCTACCTAAACAATCTAGAGAACCTCCTTGTCCGAAAAGATGGCCTAAAAGTCCCGATCATACACTAGTTTAGACATCTATTCATGGTTTAGGACCAATCACTTAGGGCCTATTTATTAAACATAACCAGAAATAACACAACAAAGAGCCGATTAACCAATATCGTATACCACTTAACTAACACGGAGCTACGAAGACTATACCGTAGATTTAGACACCCGTCCGTCCCTCGCCTATATAGGCTACTACGCGCCTTAGGACACAAGAACACTAATGTCGCAGCACTCGAACAACTCATAAAAATATGCGAACATTACTAGAGATACAGACGTTCCCTAGGCAGGTTTCGGTTTACTATTAAAGATCTAGACACTATTCGCTTTAATTACAATACTATCATCGATGTAATATATATTGAAAACTCTCTAATCCTCCATATGATCGATGAAGCAACCTGCTTCTAAGCAGCACGATGGCTACGCGACCTAACAGCGAAACATACTTGGGATATATTACGCTAGTACTAGATTAACATATACCTTGGTCCACCAGACCTAATTACCACCGACTCAGGCACGAACTTCGCATCCAGGGAATTTAAACAGAATGCGAAGACACTCGGTACCTAAGTCAAAACTATCCTAGTGGAATCCCATAATTCCATTAGACTCGTCGAAAGATACTATGCTTAGATCCGAAGGGCATACGAAATCATCATGAACAAGATCCCTAATACTAATAGGGAAATCGCCCTTTAGATATCTATAAAAGCCGCGAACGATATATCCGGCCTATATGGTCTAATACCCACCCTTCTCGTCTTTAGAGTATACCCACGTATGATAGAACTAGACGCCCCATCACCCACAATTACCCAACAAGCAACTACCATTCGAAAGGCGATAGGGGAAATCCAGAAGATGCGCGCTACAAGAAACGTGTCCAAAGCCCTTGCGATATGTAACAGACCTAACATCACCGCAATCCATAACCTCCCACTAAACTCGCCTATATTAGTATGGAGAGAAGGAAATGGCGGACAACTTAGGAAATGGGACGGACCTTTCGCGCTTTTAGCGCTTAAAGGCGAAACTTGCACGTTGAACCTACCATATAGCCCGACTCCCTTTCGATCGGTTATCGTAAAGCTATACCATATAGATATCGAAGATGTTACAACCAAAGCGCAACCTAAACCAACAAGGGTATAGATAGAGAACCTAGCCGACCTAAGGCCGAATATGGCGGGAGAGAGGATAGAGACGAGAGTATCGTATAAAGAAAAAGAGGAACCCCCTAAACCAAAGAAACCTCGCCTCCAATAAATACTATATATTAAAATCCCAACAATCCATCTACAAATCGCACAACACACGCCATTCGAGAAATCTAGGCAGAAGGAGATTTCGGGCCTACTAGAAAAAGGAGTATTTGAAT